TTTTCTTGAGTTTTATGAAGATTGTTTTAGAGAATGTGGAGGAACATTTATCAATCCTAAATTGTTTTAGTTGCTATATGTGACATAAACACTGTCGGTAATCTATATATATATATATATTATCAGTCTGACATTTTGCAAAGTATTAAAAATGTCTTTACAATAACAATTCTTTATCTGTCTTTTATATCTTAAAATAGTGGTGTTTAACAAAACAATTATAGGGACAATTTTAACTTAAGAAGATCATGACACATGCAAACATAGATTAGTGCTTACTTGTTAGATCTATTGCGACAGATAGATCTATTTGGAATAATGATAGTACTCTAGCTAATGATTCAAGTATAAATGGTACCATTTTTAAATAATTAACAGACAAAAATTGCTACTTTCTAGATATTAGAAGGTCGAAAAACCTATTATACAAATCACATTAAAAAATTCACTCTTATGTGATTTGGGGGTCAAAACAATATACAACAACATTTCTATGTGTACGTATAAAAATTGTGGGGATAGTTCATTGGTGCATATGGAGAAACCCTAGTATTTTAAATGTAAATTACAGTGTTGTTTTTTTTAAAATTATCTTTTGTTTTTACCCAGTAATATACTTTTCCTGTTAATTTGTGTGATGTCTCCAATATGATAGTTAATTCAGTGAGACTTTGAATATAAGGAAATATATTTAAATTACATAATAGTTAAAAGCTCCCCATACAGCTATGAGACATTGAAACCCATCACCTACAGAATATTCATAACTAACCTCAATTTAATTCTATTTATTCGGTATTAAAAATATTATTATCAATGGCCAAGGGTGAATTAAAATGTAATTCAGTTGGGATTAATAGTCAATATCATCAAGCATTCTTTTCTTCCTTCACATTTACTGAAAATCTCACAACATCGCAAATACATTCAGAATTCTCAGAAAGTATCTTAAACATAACAATACATACATGTACAGTATCGTAGTCTTTATATTAGTCTTGAAGTCTTAAAGACAAATTGGGGATCACATGGCTAAGTGGGTAAGACACTGGCTTGCTAGCCTGGAGGTCGAAATTTTCCATCCCTGCATTGGTCGAGAAAGTTCATCCAGATTTTCCGGCGTGGTTCAGCCTTGTCAGTGATGCAGAACGGAGGGCCTGACAAGGACAGCTGTCTAGTCCTTCGGATGAGACGATAAACTGTGCCAATTTGTGGTCTGTAGCTTGAAAATTGACTAAGATACAGGCATTTGATTTTTATGAGCTATCAATGAGTTTTCGAAACAAAATGTATCCATAATTTACTCGAGTTTCAGATATCTTGTTTTTACCTTTCTAGTGACGATATAGTGCTACAATTTTCTGGATTTTGTAGCACCCAAAGTTTGGCCTATCTAGAGATTGCCGGTAGTACTACGTAACAAACATGAAAATGCATCAGTCTTCACTAGTTTCCCAGAAAACTGGCCTCAAATATGGTTTCAGACACAAATTTTCGAAAATTGCCTCTTATTTTCGGGCTGATAGAATTCGGTAGAGGAACAGTTAAAAATCTAAAACTTGGTGCAATTATGGTTTGTACTAATGTGTACAACATGTTAAAGCCATTCTTGTCCCATGTTATCTCAATATTTTTTTCGATTTTTTTCAAAATCTGTGTTTTGGTCATTCCATGACAATTATCACCCAATCAAAATGTGTTAAAACCACACACCCTTCGATTTTGCTAAAATTTGGTTTATATACTTATTAAGATTGAAAAAAAACCCTGATATTCCAAATTTTAGCTTGCTCCGAATAACGGTTCCTGAGATACGGTCCACCTGATTTGGGGGATTTCGGTCAAAATGGGCGTCGCCACCATTATTCAAATGACCATAACCATTTAACCGATAGGTCAAAATTGCCGAAATATGTATTTCTGGAATAGGAAAGAGGATGACTTGCTGTTTGAATCATATTTATCTATCTTAAGGAAAGTCTGCAGCAGGTTATTATGTATCCTCGAGTTTATCCATGAACATTATCCTGCTTTAAGTGCAGACACTGATTTTCAGTCTCAAGTGTGACTATTTAACATGCTTATTTATAAACGATATTACACCTCCAATTGTTTGACATTGTGAAGAAAACATGTTGGGCTAAATTTTTCATGAAAGTTCATCTCAAGGTTACGTGGTTTACACGGTTAAGTTCAAAGTTAAAAGGTCTTCATTCTATTTCGCACCTTTACCAGTTCCCGTGGTTAAGAATGGACTAGGCATGATAATAATTACATCAAATTTCAGCCGAATCGTTGAATAACTTTTCATTTGACCAAGAAATTTTCCCGGACAGCAGCACTACGGCCTACTCTTATATCGAATTCCAACTGTCAAGGGATCTTTTACGTGCACGGTAATGTGTACACTGGACACCAGTTTTGCGTCCCATCCTAACGACTAGACAGCTTTTCTTGTCAGGCCCTCCATCCTGCATCACTGACAAGGGGAAATCACGCCGGAAAATCTGGATTGAAAATCTGGATTAACTTTCTTGGCCAATGCAGGGATCAAACACCCGACCTCCAGGCTAGCGAGCCAGCGTCTTACCTTAGCCAACGTGACCCACATTTTCTTTGTTGCAGTTCATAATAATAGTAATAATTTTTGTATATTTTAATTTTTGCGCTAAGCCACCATTTTCTATAAATGCCTATTTGGTGTTGACCAGTTGGATTGGCTTTTACGTGCGAATATCATTGTGACCTTGATGCAAAAATTCCTAGATCCGCCCCTGAGAAGATATATACTTTTGGCTGTAATCAGTGCTCTTGCTATACATGTAGCTATTCAAGCCAAACTTTTATACTGTTTTTTAATTTAACACTGTATGATTGTTTACAAATATTGATATTTAAAGATATATTATGGGAGATTAGATAAAGAGCTGACAGTTCTCACTATAATAGTTAACAAGAGCATCGCTAACGCAGCAATATACGTCCACATTCCTGTTTTGTTTGATATGGTCCAGTTTGCATTGAGGGTCTGTGAAATAAAACTGGGTTGTAGGACTGCTATCAGTTTAACACTTCGTTCACATTAACAGAACACAATTTTTATTTTAAAACAATCGATGTCTTTATTCTAAAAGCATGACATTTCAAATAGGTATGCAAAGTTTCAAAAGGATCTGTTAAGAATTGCGGTCTGTAGGCAAAACACAAGACACACAAACATTAGGCGTGGCTCAGTGCCAAGGGGTCGAGCATGCACCAAAAATAATAATTGAGGTCGGCCTTAGGATTAAGGAATAAGTATAAAAAGTAGCCTTAGGCTATAAGGAATAAGTATAAAAAAGTTTTCAAGATGATCGATTAAGAAATGCGGTCTGCAAGTGACACACAGACATAAAAAAAGAAAATGGGCGTAGCTCTGCCCCTGGGGGTTGGGTATTCACCACAAATAATAGGGATGTTCCTTAGGATAGAAGGAATATGTATGCTAGGTTTCAAGGTGATACGATAAAAAATGCGATCTGTAGATGACAAACAAATAAATAAATATAATGGATGGGCGTGGCTCTGCCCCTGGCGGTCGGGCATGCACCAAAAACAATAGGGATCTTCCTTGGGGTATAAGGAATAAGTATACCAAGTTTGAAGAAAATCCAGTAAGAATTGCGCCCTGTAGGCGACACAAAGACACACGAAAAGAAAATGGGAAATGGGCGTGGCTCTGCCCCTGGGGGTTGGGCATGTACCCCAAACGATAGGGATGTTCCTTAGGGTACAAAGAATGTGTATGCAAGATTATAAGTTAAGAAATGTGGCCTGTAGACGACAAACAAACAAATACTAGAAATGGGCGTGGCTCTGCCCCTGGGGGTCGGGCATGCACCAAAAACAATAGGGATCTTCCTTGGGGTATAAGGAATAAGTATACCAAGTTTGAAGAAAATCCAGTAAGAATTGCGCCCTGTAGGCGACACAAAGACACACGAAAAGAAAATGGGCGTGGCTCTGCCCCTGGGGGTTGGGCATGCACCCCAAACGATAGGGATGTTCCTTAGGGTACAAAGAATGTGTATGCAAAGTTTCAAGATTATTAGTTAAGAAATGTGGCCTGTAGACGACAAACAAACAAATACTAGAAATGGGCGTGGCTCTGCCCCGGGGGGTCGGGCATGCACCAAAAACAATAGGGATCTTCCTTGGGGTATAAGGAATAAGTATACCAAGTTTGAAGAAAATCCATGAAGAATTGCGCCCTGTAGGCGAACCACAGACACACACACACACACACACACACACACACACACACACACAGACAGGGGCGACGGCATAATACGTTCACATTATGAATGTGGACGTATAAAAACTAGATAATGTAAAGGGAATTTGCTGAAAATTTCATTCAAATTGATCCACTATGAACCAAGAACTAAGTGATTGAAATTTCTGCCTAGCCTTGATCATCATTACTAAAGTCAGTACGATAAACAGCATAATCTTGATTATCCATTTTATCGTTAAATCGTGAAGGAAAGTGATGCAGTAAATCGGCTCATAATCCACTAAAGATCACAGGCTAGTGATGCCATCTAGAGTTGATTATGGTCTGGATAAGTTAATTAATGTCTAATAAATAATTTAGCTAACATTTCAGACCTAAAGAAAGACCTGCAATAGACAGATTTAGCTCTTGCATAATGCCTTTTTACAGACAATACTATTTTTGAATGAATATTCCTAGCAGAGATTCAGTTGTCACAATACTGTTATTCAAAATTATTCAAATGGTGATCATCAGTTCTAAGAATTAAAGAATCTAATATTCTGTAACTATCTACAACTTATTTTTAATCTGCTTCTGAAATTGATACTTGGTTGGTTTCTATTTGATTCTTAATTGGAAAATTAGCTAACAAAAGGACAGCTTCAATAAGCTTTACATGTAATAAGTAATATCATGTTATTTAAAAGTATAAGATAATAAACTAATAAGTAAAACCACTTACCTGTCCTGTGACTGTTGCTAGACCAAATACTTGTTGAAAAGCTTCTCTTACTGCCCCTAATTTACTGTCTTTACAAGATGTTACAACTATATTGATATCACCACCAGTTCCTATCAAATGAAATGAAATTAAATGAAATGGGGTTTAACATCCTACTGTTGTGCACCGACTGGACTAATGAAGACGGGACCTATCAAATGAAAATTAGTAAAAATTATCTACTGTGTGTTGAAATAACTGGTTTATTATTATCAAAATTATATTAAATTAAATAAGGTTCTTCCTCTTAGCATTCTGAACAACTAGTTGTATATACAATGGGTGAAATATTACTTACGTATAACTTCTTTCATACCAGGATCTAATGTTGTGATAACACTTTCTACAGAACTCTAGAGTTTAAAAAAAAACATGTCAACAGTGAGGCTGATGTCCCCCACCAAATTGAAAAAGTAATTAGACGACACACATTTTTAATTGCATATTTATTTTTTTTTATAAAGCATCGATCATTTTGTTTATCAGTGATTAGTGTAGGCAGAGAGTTGCCAAGCTCCAAAGTCTCAACCAATCAAATTGCTTATCAGTACTTATCACTCTGCTTAACCTGAGCCGAAAATGCTCATTATTGAAAATAGGCAAGGTATTAATGTAACGAAACTATACACCACGTTTAATTACTCTGACTTAATTATAAGGAAAGTTTTTGTGTCCCAAAGCATCAACTAATAAAATTGCGTACCTCTGCTTAGCCTAAGCAGAAAACGCTCATCATCGAACTCAGTCAAAGCATTCAACTAAACTAATATAAACACCTACACCAATGGGCATCCTCGCTATAGATAAGGGGGCATAATTTATAGGTGACACTATAGAGTAGATGGTCCCATGTGACCTCATTGTTTACCTTACAGCATTGTTTTCCTTTACATTTATAACCGAATAGTGATATTAATTTTAATATATTTTTTTTAAATTTTATTTTAAGAATGCATAATTTATTTCTTATATTCACATGACAATATGGCTGACAATAAGATTATCCCCCTGTCTGTCATTAATTTAATATGTTATAATCTGTGGGTGCCAATAGGCTTATTAAGAGACATCTCGAGATCAGTACTAATCAAGTGTCAACGCTTTTACTTTATTTATGGCTTAAAACTTATTAACTGATTCTGTTAATTATATTACAATATATTTTTACCCCTAATTTTATCTTTAATCTGATTTGTGGAAATGATTGACAATGTCCTTTTATCTGTATGAAAATTAGTTTTTTTAAAAGACCCCTACAACAATCAGACAGATGAGATGGGAACATGGGATCACATGAGATCAGGGATAGGAGATAGGGTTAAGATGAACAGTTACCACCTTCACCAGAATACTGCCCATCAGTAATAAGCTACACCCACCCCTACTCGTAGCTCATCCATGGTTATTCAAACGAAGAATTACCCCAAAACAGGTTGGTAATACATTCATTACGAACGTGTCTGTTGACAAATGTCATTTTTTGTCGTTAAAATGGAATTTAATCCTGATGCTTTGAAATATGGTTCTCTTACCACAGATAAGGTCACATGGAATCAAGTTTTTACTAACGGTGCCTGGTGGGAATTCCTTCAGCGAGGACGCCCATTAGAAGCAGAGTTATTGTGTCTCAAAAAGTGTGGCGGACAGACGGACTGACATAAACATTTCAATAGTCCCCTGCTTTTTTCGAAAGGTGGGAGACAATAAAGCAAATATTATTCCATATTTTTTATTCAAACTATTAAGAAATAACAAGATGATAACCAAGTGTATGGAACCATTTCCTGGTTCTAAAATAGAAATATTCCAAATTACAAATGGATCAAGGTTAATAACAACAGATATTAATGGAAATTTTTGATAAAGGGCATTAACCATAAACTGGAATCAGTAATTACATTATTTATCACTTTACATTGTGAATAACAAAGGCTTAAATTTTTATAGCAAAATAAGTGATGACTGATCAGAATGCATTTAAATCTAGTGTAGGAGTCTGAAGAATGTTCTTTTGACAGTTGAGTTAAGCACATTTTCATTGATTGCAAACATCTCAAGAATATACAATAAAATCATTATCGTTGTCAGTTGTTACAAATTTTATTTGCCCAATCGGGTCTATATATGTAAAACATTAGACTTTTTAAAAGAGACAGGTTTTTATTGTAAACTTAAATTTCAAACATATATCTATCATTTCATGTTTATATTTTCAAACATTTATATGCATACCGGTACTTCTATATTTTTTTTTTCAATTTTAAAAATACTGTGATATTTGTTTTTATATGCATAAACCTATTTATTTGTCATATGACTTAGCCTGTCTCGTCTTTCCCCATATGTTTGGTGCAATATAGCCCAGTTGAAGCTGATGTGCCATACAACTCAATTTCATTTCATTCATTCTGAAGAATAAATTCAAGGATGGCTGTACATGTGTAGAAGGAAGCAACAACTCCAAAAACGTGTAAAATCCTCACCTTAGTTTTTTCTACAACTTTTGATACCAAACTGTTTCCAGAAATCCATGATAACAGACTACTAGTTTGATATGTTGAACTCATACTGTCATCATCCATATGTGCTACAGAAAATAAATATTTAATAAATTTACAATGTACACCAATTGTACACCAATTGTAATTATGTCAATATATACTATTCAAAAAAAGTAGGGGATATTTGATTTTGGGGGCATAATACTAAAATATGCAAATGACTACGAAAAAAGTCACTATAGAACCTAACAGAAGAAACATTTCCAGTTACATGTGACGCCCAAACGCACCAATAGCTACCGCATGGAATGCAGGTGATGCTTGGGATCATCATGGGGGTCCAACCCAAGATTTGCACGACTCTGACTTTGAATGTTACAGTCATTGTGGCATTGAATTCCAGGGTGGAAACATCAGTTTAATTGTTTTAGTGACCAGAAAACAAATTTTGATATGCGTCGGCTTACCCAAAATGAAAGGTTACGTGCCCTTGGCATGCTACAGATCGGCACAACACAGGCGGTTGTGGCGCGGACGATGAATGTTTCTCAGTCTGTCATAAGCAGGCTATGGTCCAGATACCGTGATACACAATCTGTACAGGACAGACCACGCTCAGGTCGACCAAGGGAGACAACTCAAGCCCAGGATCGATTTATCCGTACCTTGGCCTTGAGAAATCGTGTCATCACAGCAAATCAGATCAGCGCTCGTCTTCAAACAGAAACTGGTGTGAGAGTGAGTGGCCAGACGATTCAGAATCGACTGCATAGGGGTCACCTTCGCGCCCGACGTCCTCGCGTGATCCCTTGTTTGAGAGATCATCACATTCAGGCAAGACGTCGTTGGTGTAGGGATCGTCAACACTGGGATAATCGACGCTGGAGCAATGTGATGTTTTCAGATAAGTCAAGGTTCACTGTTGATTTTTTGGACAGACGTAGGAGGGTGTGGCGTCGTCGAAACGAGCGCTTCCAAGACGTTAATGTCATCAGACATGATCGATTTGGGGGTGGTTCTGTTATTTTATCATTTTACCCTTATAATGGTCAGCCTGTGCCTTACTTAGTCTAACGATCATTTGGAATAAATCGATGAATGTGAACTTCATTTCATTTTGTCATTTGTTTCTTCGTCAGTTTCATTAGGTGACTTTAATAACACTTAAAAATCAAATATCCCCTACTTTTTTTGAATAGTATATTGTCAGATAAATTAGATTTAGATCTCGATTTAAATTCTTTCAACTTAACAGAGGACTAATCTAAATTATACAATAAATCATTAGACCTTAGTAACTTTTAGAAGAGAATAAGCTATCAATAAAATAGAACAAACAAACCATTTTCAATTGAAAGAGAAATTCTTCACATTTTCAATAATAATATCAGACAAAGAACTATGTTATGTTTCAATCTATTAAGCTATCTATTAAACAGCACTACCTACCTCTCTTACGATTAACTGAAGAAAGGGAAGCAACTCTACTTTTACTTTCAGATTGTGTAGAAGCACTGAAATAAACCATTTTACGTTAGCTAAAAACTTAAATAAATTACGAATGGCAAACATGATTTAAAGATGCATTACATAAGATTTAGATAAAGATCTGGCCATACTTGCTTCTTTAATAGATCAAAAATGGATGATTAGAAAATTTCACTCAAATTACTATATTCTATGCAAAGTATTGACTGCTTAAAGATATAGCATTTATTATCAATTTTATCGTTAAGTTTTTAAATCTCGAAGGTGTTCAAATCCATTAGAATCCTGGTCATCCTTGATTTTAGGTCTGTGATGTGAATTAATGTTTAAATAATAATCTACAGTAGAATCTGTATTAAGCAGCCACTCAAGGGACTGATCGCTTAACAGGAGTGGCCTCTTAATAAAATCTCCGTGTTTTTGTGCTGACATCAATTAAATATTACACTTGGATGCAATGGAAGCAAACATCGGTAAATTTGACCATAGCTGAAACTTGCTTGGGACAAAAATCTTTGACTCAAATCTCCGAGATAACTTCTGTGACCGGGTCATTTTGTACCAACATCGATACTGATACTAATGTCTACCATTGTGATGCATTCGATAATATTTATCCATTTTTTTGAAGAAAATCCATGGATTAATTTTATTTTATCAAAAAAGCACATGAACAAAAATCCATAACTGAATTTGTCACCGTTTTTAGGGGGTGTAACTCTATATGTAATATTATAGGAGGCGCTATAATGTCTGTTTAGCAGCAAAGTGTCAATGAAAAATTGGAAAAGAGATGATTGTGACAAAACTCTGCTTCATCGGTGCTTTTAGTTTATTCAATCAGTATCTAATAATGTTTTGTTACTTGTGAAAACAATGATCAGGGTTTGTCATTTAATAAAACAAAAGATAATTTAATAATTAACAGATAATCCAGGGTTTATTGTTATTTTCACATTTATTTTTACCTGATCAGTGGGGGTCCAGTTAATTAACTATTAATCACGGGATTAGCGTTGGTGTTTCAAAGAACGGCAAGATGGTATCAGTCAACAGTGGTCGTTGAATGGGCGATGTTTTGCTAAATTTATTAGTAAAATAGTAACCGGTGGCCGCGTTAGAGGAGTGATCATTGATTAAAGAGATGAAACAATGGAATTTTTACGGGGGGGGGGGGGGGGGGGGGTGTAATTTCACGTGACCGATTACAAGGAGATGTCGCTGAATAGGAGTGGCTGCTCATACAGATTCTACTGAAGCCAGAAAAAGCACTTGCAATAGGCAGAATTAGCTTTTACTTAATGCATCTTTAAGTACAAGATGTAACCAATCACAACTACTCAAATGCTACCTATCAACATTTAGATGCAATTGTATGTAAATGACCTTAAAGATTAATAAATTACATAACTTTCGTTTAATTTCATAACATTTTTTGACCAATCGTTCAATTTCATAAATTTTTTAACCAATCAGACATTCCTCTTTTATTAGTCTCTACCGGTACTTGAAATATATTTTCAGAATAAAAAAATATAAAAACATCTTGCCATAACCATAGCCTAGAAAATTACTCCCCTTCGTTCAACACAATTGACTAAAAAATTATAAGATTATGTTATTGGACGTCAAAGGCATGATTTTTTCTGAGAAACTGAAAGCAATAAAAATTCAGTACCTTTCTTGTCTACTGTTTCCACTTTGCATTGACTAATAAAATAATAAAATAAATTGATTAATAAAGAGAAGTTTTATATAATAAATCCTGGAAATAAGGCACCTATCACTGACAATGTCAGTCTCAAATTTAGTTCCTTTTGTGTCTGACATTTTGTTTGGCACTGGATTTGTCTATTTTCTTTTGTTTTTATTAGTACCAGTATTTAAAACGTCAAGTACAACTAATATCATTATTCCCTAGTCTGTATATAACTTTTTTTTTTAAAAAGTAAGACCTTGCCATAAATCATAAAGAGTTTGGTCAGCACAAGTAGAAGGAAACCAGAAATCCCAAAGAAAACCCACAAAATTATATCCTAGTAACAGTTTTCAGAACATATAATAACCATTTTAATCAATTACCAAATAAGAAATATATAACAATGACATACATGATTAATGCAATTACCATGAAACCAACATACAATACTTTATACTTTTGTAAATGAAATGGGGTTTAACGTCCTACTGTTCTGCTCTGACTGGGTTACCGAAGACGGGCATACGTCATACAGTGTGCTAAGAGGGGAATTTTGAACGGACAGCGGCACTACGTGCTACTCTTATATTGAATTCCAACTGTCAAGGGTTCCTTTATGTGCACGCCCATGTGTACACAGAGCTCCGGGTTTTTTTTCCGTCTCATCTGAACAAGGCCCTTTGTCCTGCATAACTGACAAGATGGAACCGCACTGGAAAATCTTGATGAACTTTTTTCTCGACCAACGCAGGGATTGAATACCAGGTTAGCACGCCAACGTCTTACTCACTGAGCCACCATGGCTCCATCATACTTTTATGGAAATTTAGTATTATTATGGACAACCACCAATTCTTATCTAAATAAATTCTCCATTTCACTGATTTTTTTTTAATTATAGATATAGCCAAATATTACAGATTTTTTGTATTACTGTTGAAATAGAAAGGCAAAAATTAAACTAAAATTTGTAAACCATTTGACATCCACTTAAGTTTCCAAACAAAAATTTAATCTTAAAGTTTACAAAACCTAAATTTGTGCCTGACAATGTCCTTGACATGTGCCTGATTTCCAGGCTTACTCATGACCGTTTATATGTCTGCTTGGAGATAAGACTGATTTCAAATTTACAAAGATGTGGTATTGGTCAACAACATGGGTTAAATTAGAGTTGTTTTCACTGAACAACCAAAAAGTATTAGCCTTATCCCAGTAAACAGTACCACATACTTACATCTTCTTCCACCGATGTCTAGTTTAATATTAAAAAGTCAACAACAGAAGTATTACATAAATTATACATGAAAAAATTGATCATCAGGTGTAGAACAAGTACTGTTCAATCTAATATGGGTACTAATGCTATCCATTCTCACATTGTTGTTAAGACTAAAGATTACCCTATAAATTGTAAGCTTAATCTAATAGACAATATGACTAATCTAATATCCCAATATTTTCTGCCCATTTTGTTCTGTTGTCATTAATTGTTTTGCAACAGTTCATACGGATACAAGAACGGAGCCCAGCTACATGTAGTAATTGTCATTCTTCGATGCAACAGTTACTACATAACAGTCTTACACTAATTTGTTAATTAATAGTAAAAAAAAAATGGAAATTCAGGTGTTGAATTGTTGAAATTAACATAAAAATTTCCACGAAAATCATTATCTTAAAACAGCGGCTACCAGGCAGGATATGCCCACATTTTGCAAGAGATGGATAGAGAACAAGCTAAAAACAAACAGGATTTTTTGTACAATCAGGCGCAATAACCCAAAAGTTATGGTCTGAAATGCGCAAATATCAAAAGGGACTTAGATATTTGGGATATAAAGATATGTTTTAAGTTTCATCAGAATATGATAAAAATTGTGACCTCTAGAGGGTCCACAACCTTCGTATGCATACTTTTACACAATTTGCGTACAAAGAGCAGTCATTTTGTCGGGCAGTTTCATTACGATTTTCCCGAAATTCGAATACAACCTTCATTAAGGTGGGACTTAGATCTTTGGGATATAAAGATATATTTAAAGTTTCATCAGAATATGATAAAAATTGTGACCTCTAGAGGGTCCACAACCTTCGTATTGCATACTTTTACACAATTTGCGTACAAAGAGCAGTCATTTTGTCGGGCAGTTTCATTTCGATTTTCCCGAAATTCGAATTCAACCTTCATTATGGTGGAATGGTGAAATATTTAAACGTTTTTTAAAATCGGAGAAAAAAAAATTGTGACCTCTAGAGAATCAGCAAGCAAAAAATATGATTTTTCGAACAATCAGGAGTCATAATCCAGGAAGTTACGTTCGGATATACACGATTATCAAAAGGAAACAAGATCTTAGTGTTTAATGGTGATATATTCACATGTTTTTTTAAATCGGATAAAAATTGTGACCTCCACATGGACGGCAAGCTAAAAATGTGATTTTTTGTACATTCAAGGGCCATAATCCAGGAAGTTATAAACATGTATTATAAACTCTCATCAAAATCAGGTCAAAATTGTGACCTCTAGAGGGTCCACAAGCTTGATATACCAGATGCTATACACTATTTGCGTACGAGGGGTGGCCATTTTGTCCGGCAGTTTTAACCCGATTTTCACAAAAGTCAAACTCAACCAAAATTACGGTGTAACAGTGATATATTTGAACATAATACAGGAAGTTACTATCCGATATGCGCAAATATTGAAAGGAACCAAGATCTATGGTTATAAACTTACATTTAATAATAATAATAATAATGAATATTTATATTGTGCGCATTCCATCCAAACAGTATACTCATGGCGCAGTCAAGTTGCATCAAAATCAGAAGAAAATTGTGACCTCTAGAGGGTCCACAACATTGATATACCATATTTTTATGCTATTTGAGTACGAGGGGCGCCCATTTTGTCTGTCAGTTTTCTTCTGATTTTTACAAAATTCGAACTCAACCATCCTTAGGGTGTAGCGGTGATAAAATGAAACGGTTTTTTAAATCGGATAAAAATCATGACCACTATAGGGTCCACAAGCTTAAAAACGTGATTTTTCGTTCAATCAGGGGCCATAATTCAGGAAGTTATAAACCTACATTTCAAGTTCCATCAAAATCAGAAGAAAATTGTGACCTCTAGAGGGTCCACAACCTTGATATACCATATTTGAGAACGAAGGGCGGCCATTTTGTCTGTCAGTTTTGGGCCGATTTTCACGAAATTCGAACTCAACCATCCTTAGGGTGTAACAGTGATATACTAAAACGTTTTTATAAATCGGATAAAAATTATGACCTCTATAGGGTCCACAAGCTGAAAACGCGACTTTTCGAACAATCAGGGGCCATAATTCAAAAAGTTATGGTCCGATATGCATGAATATCGAAAGGATCCGAGATCTGTGGGGTATAAACATGCATTTCAAGTTTCATCAAGATCAGATGAAAATTGTGACCTCCAGAGGGTTCACAACCCTGATTCGCAATATTTTGACACTATTTGCGAACGAGGGGCGGCCATTTTGTCCGTCAGTTTCAGTCCGATTTTTATGAAATTCGAACTCAACCATCCTTAGGGTGTAACAGTGATATATTCACACGTTTCTTTAAATTGAATAAAAATTGTGACCTCTATGGTGTCCACAAGCTAAAAATGCGAATTTTCGAACAATCAGGGGCCATAATTCAGGAAGTTATGGTCCGATATGCGCGAATATCGAAGGAACCGAGATCTGTGGGTTATAAACATACAGCGTTCACAAGCTAAACACGTGATTTTTCATACAATCAGGGGCCATAATCCATGAAGTTACAGTCCGATACATGCCAATATCGAAAGGAACCGAGATCTTAGGGTGATAAACCTATATTCCAAGTTTCATTGAAATCGGTTAAAAATTGTGACCCGTAGAGTGTTCACAAACAATTGTGGACGGACGGACAGGGGCGACGACAATATACGTCCCGAAATTCGAATTCAACCTTCATTATGGTGGAATGGTGAAATATTTAAACGTTTTTTAAAATCGGAGAAAAAAAAATTGTGACCTCTAGAGAATCCGCAAGCAAAAAATATGATTTTTCGAACAATCAGGAGTCATAATCCAGGAAGTTACGTTCGGATATACACGATTATCAAAAGGAAACAAGATCTTAGTGTGTAATGGTGATATATTCACATGTTTTTTTTAAATCGGATAAAAATTGTGACCTCTACATGGACGGCAAGCTAAAAATGTGATTTTTTGTACATTCAAGGGCCATAATCCAGGAAGTTATAAACATGTATTTTAAACTCTCATCAAAATCAGGTCAAAATTGTGACCTCTAGAGGGTCCACAAGCTTGATATACCAGATGCTATACACTATTTGCGTACGAGGGGTGGCCATTTTGTCTGGCAGTTTTAACCCAATGTTCACAAAAGTCAAACTCAACCAAAATTACGGTGCAACAGTGATATATTTGAACGTTTTTTTAAATCGGATAATAATTGTGACATCTAGAGGGACCTCAAGCTAAAAACGCAATTTTTCCTACAATCAGGGGCCATAATACAGGAAGTTATTATCCGATATGCGCAAATATTGAAAGGAACCAAGATCTATGGTTATAAACTTACATTTAATAATAATAATAATAATGAATATTTATATTGTGCGCATTCCATCCAAACAGTATACTCATGGCGCAGTCAAGTTGCATCAAAATCAGAAGAAAATTGTGACCTCTAGAGGGTCCACAACATTGATATACCATATTTTTATGCTATTTGAGTACGAGGGGCGCCCATTTTGTCTGTCAGTTTTCTTCTGATTTTTACGAAATTCGAACTCAACCATCCTTAGGGTGTAGCGGTGATAAAATGAAACGGTTTTTTAAATTGGATAAAAATTATGACCACAAGCTTAAAAACGTGATTTTTCGTTCAATCAGGGGCCATAATTCAGGAAGTTATAAACCTACATTTCAAGTTCCATCAAAATCAGAAGAAAATTGTGACCTCTATAGGGTCCACAACCTTGATATACCATATTTTTACGCTATTTGAGAACGAAGGGCGGCCATTTTGTCTGTCAGTTTTGGGCCGATTTTCACGAAATTCGAACTCAACCATCCTTAGGGTGTAACAGTGATATACTAAAACGTTTTTATAAATCGGATAAAAATTATGACCTCTATAGGGTCCACAAGCTGAAAACGCGACTTTTCGAACAATCAGGGGCCATAATTCAGAAAGTTATGGTCCGATATGCATGAATATCGAAAGGATCCGAGATCTGTGGGTTATAAACATGCATTTCAAGTTTCATCAAGATCAGATGAAAATTGTGACCTCCAGAGGGTTCACAACCCTGATTCGCAATATTTTGACACTATTTGCGAACGAGGGGCGGCCATTTTGTCCGTCAGTTTCAGTCCGATTTTTACGAAATTCGAACTCAACCATCCTTAGGGTGTAACAGTGATATATTCACACGTTTCTTTAAATTGAACAAGCCAACAGTGAGGCTGATGTCCCCCGCCGAAATCCCCAAATAAATAGATGACACATATTAATTAATCGCACATCTATTTTTTTCCAAAGTATCGAGCAATTAAACTGATTATCAACTATACACTAAGTTTCATCACTCTCTATCAGATAGAATCAAAGTTATCTTGTCCCAAAGCAAGAAATTGCTTATCTCTGCTTAGCTTTAGCTCAATATGTTAATCATTGAACTCAGTCAAGACAAACATCTACATCAAGTTTAAACATTCTACCTCAATTAGAAGAAGAGTTGTTGAACTCAGTCAAGACGAACATCTACATCAAGTTTAAACATTCCACCTCAATTAGAAGAAGAGTTTGACCAATCAAAATGCTTATCACTCCTTAGCTTAAACAGAAAATGCTCATTATCGAACTTAGTCAAGTTATTGATGTGATAAAACTATACACCAAGTTTCATCACTCTCACTTAATTGGAACTAAAGTTATCGTGTCCCAAAGCATCAACCAATCAAATTGCTTATCTTTGCTTATCCTAAGCAGAAAATGCTCATCTTCACACTCCATCAAGGCATTGACCTAATAAACACCTACACCAAGTTTGAACATTCTAGCTCAATTAGAAGGAGTGTTATTGTGTTCCAAAGTCTCAGCCAATCAAATTGCTTATCGCTCTGCTTACCCTGAGCAGAAAATGCTCATTATCGAACTTAGTCAAGGTATTGATGTAATGAAACTATACACCAAGTTTCATCTCTCTCACTTTATTAGAACTAAAGTTATCGTGTCCCAAAGCATCAACCAATCAAACTGCTTATCTTTGCTTACCCTAAGCAGAAAATGCTTATCTTCACACTCCATCAAGGCATTGACCTAATAAACACCTACACCAAGTTTGAACATTCTAGCTCAGGGCTTGCCACGAGACGCGAGTAATTACTCGCGCGCATGCTACGCTCGCGTAAAACCAAATTTACGTGAGTGATTAAGTACTCGCGCAAATATAAAAAATAATTTAATCAGAAATAATTGAATATCGTAATATAAAAAGCCGTAAACAATTTGTATGCCTTCATATCGATGCACTATTGCGCACGCGGCGTGTCTTTCCAGTGCCAACTGTTGTTACTAACAAGGCATTGACCTAATAAACACATACACCAAGTTTGAACATTCTAGCTCAATTAAAAGTTATCGTGTCCCAAAGCATCAACCAATCAAATTGCTTATCTCTGCTTACCCTAAGCGGAAAATGCTCATCTTCGAACTCCATCAAGGCATTGACCTAATCAACACATACACCAAGTTTGAACATTCTAGCCCAATTAGGAAGAGAGTTATCGTGTCCCAAAGCATCAACCAATCAAATTGCTTATCTCTGCTTACCCTAAGCGGAAAATGCTCATCTTCGAACTCCATCAAGGCATTGACCTAATAAACACATACACCAAGTTTGAACATTCTAGCTCAATTAGGAAGAGAGTTATTGTGTCCCAAAAAGTGTGACGGACAGACAGACGGACAGACAGACAGACAGACGGACAGACAGACGGACAAACCCATTTTAATAGTCCCCTGCTTTCTTCGAAAGGCGGGGGACAATAAAAATTGTGACCTCTATGGTGTCCACAAGCTAAAAATGCGAATTTTCGAACAATCAGGGGCCATAATTCAGGAAGTTATGGTCCGATATGCGCGAATATCGAAGGAACCGAGATCTGTGGGTTATAAACATACAGCGTTCACAAGCTAAACACGTGATTTTTCATACAATCAGGGGACATAATCCATGAAGTTACAGTCCGATACATGCCAATATCGAAAGGAACCAAGATCTTAGGGTGATAAACCTATATTCCAAGTTTCATTGAAATAGGTTAAAAATTGTGACCCGTAGAGTGTTCACAAACAATTGTGGACGGACGGACAGGGGCGACGACAATATACGTCCACATGAAAATGTGGGCGTATAAAAAAATCTATATCAAAATCCATTATTGATGATTAATATCCAAACCTACTTACCCTTGATGGTGTATTAGTTGTATACGAATTTGGGAAAAATGATGGTAATGGTTTGGGAGCAGGAAAACTGGTGCGTCCATCTAAAAAAAGAAAAACATCATTACACTCATCTTAATAGATGTGTTATATTTTAGTTCAAATAACTTGAGTGATAAAGGACCCAGGCTAAAAACACAATGTCACAATAAGGCATAACCCTTTGTGACTGCGGGGTTTGTGGCTGAAATGCTAATCTATACATACCTGGTGGTGATTGAGCATTAGCCTCTTTTTCCGCTTGTTCTACTTCCTCTCGTGTTACCATTTCTGGCTGTTCATCTGATGATGTCTCTTCCATCATATCGGCAACAACCAGTACTTAAACAATATATTATCCTAAAATTATACAGGTTATATTTTCATTTTAATATCTAGCATCATTACCAAATATCTGTATGTCAATAATTAAATCTGTGCTTCATCTGTACTAATACAATCTGTGGGCTACTTCAATAATTAAATCTGTACTCCAATCCTATAATTAAATCTGTACCCCAAAAATTAAATCGGTGCTCCAATAAGTTAATCTGTACAATTAAATCTGTACAGTAAGAAAATCTGTGCTCCAATAATTCAAGCTTTAAATAAAGGATAAACATTGTCCAAAACTAGAAACACAAAATTATCATTGTGAAGGGTATCATTGGCCCAACTAGTAAGCTACTATATGCTATCTGTATTAGTAGAATAATTTTAACATTATTAAATATTATATTACAAAAATTAGAGATATGTGGATGACCAGCTGTTGTCTGCAAGTTGTAAAACCAGATCAATAATAATACAAGTTTATTAACATGGTTGTTTTTAAATAACTAGCATTGATTACAATAATTTACAGATTTCTATAACAAATCCTTTACCAGCCATGAGCCCGTCCACAATCTGATTAAAATACAGATCCAATTTTGTTTCGTTTTTTTATAGTTCAAAATTTTGTTTTTACTTGTCTTTACTACATTTGGATCTGTCGAATCGAGCGTTTGACCTTTTTTGCGTGGAACTGTGGGTAGACATTACCAGCGATAGAAATCAAAATAAAGCTAAAGTAGATTTAAAAAAGCATGGCGATCGCTAATTGGTTAATCGAATGACTGACGTTATCGGGTCAAATGTCGCTTGCTTGGTACCTGAAGTCATAGAACGTGAACTCCCACGATAACTTGTTAGATCTACATGTAGTGTAGGCCATCGAAAGTATAAAAAACGAAACGAAATATAGATCTATATTTTAATTAGATTGGCCCGTCCAATGCAAACCTAAAGGAGAATGTTCCTATCAATCAATTATATATCTGATACAAATAAAATCAGATTACATTATTTAGGGGGATCAATTATATATCTGATACAAATAAAATCAGATTACATTATTTAGGGGGATCACAGTGGCTAAGTGGGTAAGACGCTGCCTCGCTAGCCTGGAGGTCGGGTGTTCGATCCCTGCATTGGCCGAGAAAGTTCATCCAGATTTTCTGGCGTGGCTCCCCCTTGTCAGTGATGCAGGACGGAGAGTCTGACAGGGACAGTTGTCCAGTCATTCGGATGGGGCAAAAAAACGAGGTCCCGTTTACACATTGGCATGCACGTAAAAGATTCCTTGACAGTTGGAGTTTGATAAAAGAGTAGGCCGTAGTGCCGCTGTCTGGGCAAAATTTCCCTCATAGCACACTGTATGGCGTATGCCCGTCTTCATTAGCCCAGTTAGGAGCAGAACAGTAGGACGTTAAACTCCATTTCATTTCATCTATTTCATTACATTATTTAGAATGTATCGCCAATTCAATCACATATACATGTACATGTATTATGTAAAATTAGTGGACAGCAACAGTGTCTTTTAATTTGAATTATGTATAATGTTAAAACAATATGGTTGTACCTTATCTGGTTGCTGCACTGCTTAGATTTGTGTATAACATGAATCTCTTTCACAAAATAGCCAAACAAGAAACACCCTTTCAAAAAGATCATATAATAAAGTTGTCTTAAGTATATTCAGTTTAACACCCCCACATCTGCATGTTTGATGTAAATATATTATTGTGAAGTTCTACACTGTATTTATGTACGGTTTGTGAATACCGGTAATGAATATCTCTACTTTATTATTATAAACCAAATACATTTAAATTGTCTTCTTTTTCAAATATGTAATCTCTTTCACTTCGTTGATGGTAAGCTGTACACTCACAAAATGATCAAGGGCTGATTGTCTATATTTATCTATTTTAATCCTTGCTATAGTTTGGGGTCATTAACTACCAAATAACAGTCATGCTATTGCGTTTTTGCACTTCTACAACAGGTCATGGTCAGATTTATGGGCTGTTACATAAAAAATCAAACACAAGATCTAACAAGACAATTGAATAGTGGACTGTCCAACTAAGGGGTAATCGGAATAACAAGTTGAAAGGGGCATTATGGTAGATTAGATAAAAGGTTGACAGTTCTGCCTAAAATAGTTAAAAAATAGATAACGTAAACAGAATATGCTGAAAATATCAGTCAAATTGCTCTAATCTTAACCAAGATATTAGCTTTTGAATTTTAGGCTAGCCTCGAACATCATTACTTAATAGTAAGTGCAGTGGGACTGCACCACACATAATTTACACAAAACAAATCTTTGGAAAAGACACAATACCGGTACGCAGAAATCACCAAAAAACCTAACATATCAAAATAACAAAGTCTCGATTATCCATTTTTACATTTAATAATCCATCACAAAATGTATTCCAATCCTCTAAATATCGGAGGCTAGCGTTGGCATCTAGAGTTGATTATGGTCTGGATAAGTGAATTAATGTATTATTAATAATTTAGATAACATTTCAGGCCTAAAGAAAGGCCTGCAATAGACATATTTAGCTCTTACAATCTTTGTTAAAAATTCGTAAAAATCATTTAAAATCACCCAAAATCATCTAATTTGTATTTGTGTCCAGTTTAAAGCTGACTGATTAATTTTGATAATGAGTGTTCAATTTAGTAGGGGTGATGATTTTCCGTTTCAGAAAATAGCAAATTCCGTTTTAAGTATTTTTAATTCCGTTATTTTCCGTTTCAGAGCTGACCATATTCCGTTTTTTCGAGATAAAATGTTATTTTATGAATAAATGAATAAAACATCTTAAAATGCCTTTTATTACAAAACGGATCATTTTAAACCAATGATAACAAATGTTGAATTGTGAATGACTTGTAATGTTCAATGACTAGTTATTCTTTAAACCTGTTTCCCGAATTAAATAACAGAAAATTACATCTTGTGAGCTCGTTTCATCTTTTTAGCAGACGAAGTCATGTTTCTCAGCTGCTAGGTGTAGTCGCGATTTATCCAGACATCTTCGTAGTTACTACCGTTTCTTCGAGAATAAGGGCTGGATTCACAAGGCTACGGTATATTTCTGATGTCACGTGGTTAATGCGGATAAACACGAGTCACGAGCCCGGCAGTAAAATAAGAAGTAAATGAAACGATTTTTACTTTTATGAAGTGACAGAAGTTTTTTTAAAGACATATATATACATTACAATGTTTAATTCAAGTTAAACTACAGAGTAATTTTATAATGGGATACATGAAAGACGGGTTTTCGTTTCGATTAAAATTATGATTCCTAAATGATGAAATGAAAGTAGCGAAATACTAAAATAGACAGTAACAAAACCACGCGATATCATTCAATATTTCCGATTTTTATGAATAAAAAGATAAAATACTTGGATAACTGCAAAACTATTTTGAGTTTGTGTTTAGTATCAGCAAATATCGGCTTTTCCGTCTTTTTCCGTGTGAGATTTCAAATTCCGTTTTGAGTGGACAATTCCGCGATTTCCGCGTTTTTTCCGCGATCACGGAAAATCATCACCCCTAATTTAGAAGTATTTAATTTCCTGACCACTGTTCAGTTTTGATAATGAGTGTCCAATTTACAAATGTTCAATTTCTCGATCACTGTTAAAAAATAAACAACCCAATTGATTATTGATATACAGATTTATAATAATTTTTGAACAGTGATCGAGAAATTAAACATTGGACACTCATCAAAATTGAATGGTCAGCTTTTTAAACTGGACACAAATAGACGAATTTTGGTGATTTTAAGTGATTTTTATGAATTTCTGAACAAAGGTTTGATATTGAATGAATGTGAAAGAAATTAGTGTTAAATACACAAAATTTAATGATACTTGGATTACAGTGTTAACTGTCTGTTAAACAAAAGAAATAAAGAAACGTTGGATTAATCAGTTCTGTCATACAATAATGGACTGTCAGCCAACTTTCTATCGGACTCGAAGAGCGTCAAGGGGTGATCAGGCCATGAATAAAATAACGTGTGGACAAAGGAAAGTGAAAATTATCTTCATTAACTGAAGGTTGGCAACGAAGCTCTGCGTAAGCAATTCTTACAGTGTCTTGATATTCGAGCCTGTAAAATCTCCTTGAATTTTGTGTACACCCACTATTATAGTATTAGTCACCCTATAGCTAGTACACTAAGTAATAGAGATGCAAACGAGCAATAGTGGCCACAGGCTTAGGTCCCTGTCCTTACAGTCTAGAATGAAAATGACATCTGATTGATGGATGGCAGCTGAGCCTTTGCTTTGGTTTTACACCTTGTTTATTAGTACTAATTCAAATTGTATGTAGTTGTATGTCAGTAAAAATACTCCAAGATACTGAATTATTGTACTATAGTCAGTTGGCTCGTCTTATACTTACCGTATAAAGGGATAAGAGTAAGAGGACGTAAAACTCTAGAAACGAACGAACGAACAGTCCTACAGTACTAGTACTACGATGTAGCTTGGGATTCCCACGTGCGTCTCATGACCAAGCAACAATTTTAAATTTGTATAGATCTGCTTTCACTATTCACTTGCTAAGATTGCAAGCGGGGCTTCATGTAAAGCATGAACAGTTTCATAAATCTTCAAACAGTCTGACAAACGTTTGGCTACCTTTCAGTTAGGTGAATGGATGTTGCCATATGATGAGTGATCTTGATAGCTTTTTTAGAAGTTTTAACTGTAATTTGGAATAAAGCAGATGTTTAATACAACTGGAACAATATACCTAAATACTTACAACGATTCCTTGAATACAAATGACAATATATGCAGAAGACACAGTAGTTTCAAAGGATAGTAATCCGCAAAACGTTGAAGTCGTATCCTTTTTCTTGGGATCAAAACAAAAGAGCGGCCATTAATGACGTCATAAAGTAAGCCACGTCTTCACAGAGGGTGATCCCCGAGCTAAAAATAAATTTTGTAGTTGCCTCCCTTTAACTGAAATTTTACAAAGAGAACCATGTACCTTATCGTCGAGGATTATAAATTCTTTGCCACCCACTCTCATCAACAAGTTGATGATCTTTCTCAGCCCGCTATGCCGAGTTTGATTCCTCCCAAATCTCGTTTAAAGACATTGAACTACCCTACCCGTACGCGACGGTACATTGGACGAGACATAGGTTGAGAAGAATCTTCGGAATTTTTTAAGCTTGATTATTTATTGTCAAGAGTGGCACCTGTGTCCAGACTTTCGGATGGGACGAACTCCGCGGTGAGTTGGATTTCGAATAACAGTTGGTGGGTATATGTCACTGTACCACGAGCATTCCACACGTAGGCTAATTTGAATGAAAATTATCTAAAAATGACCTATACCATTTTACGCACGGGCGTCACAAATGGACATTTAATAAATATATAAATGTTTGTTAATTCGCTATAGGAAACCAAACGGATGAACTTCAGTTTTTTTTTTAAAAAAAACAACAAAAAAACAAATGAAACGGGGTTTAACGTCCTAGGCCTACTGTTCTGCTCCGAACTGGGCTAATGAAGACGGGCATAGCCTACGCCATACAGTGTGTTATGAGGGAAATTTTGCCCTGGCAGCGGCACTACCGCCTACTCTTATATCGAATTCCAACTGTCAAGGGATCTTTTACGTGCATGCCTATGTGTACACGGGACCTTGGTTTTTCGTTCCATCCGAACGACTAGAGAGCTGTCCTTGCCAGGCCTTCCGTCCTGCATCAATGACAAGGGGGAACCACGCCGGAAAATCTGAATGAACTTTCTCGGCCAGCGTCTTACCCACTTAGCCACCGTGATCCTTTACAATAACCAGCTATCTACCAGAATTCTATTCGTGCTAAGATTCATATACAATTACACAATTCATATGGCAATAAATTGTTCAAGTTCCATTACTATTAGTATTAATTAGTTGGCAGTTTATGCAGGGCATTTGTTTTTACATATTGTCTGGTGGTTGGGTCACTCAGATAATTGGCTCTGTATTCTTTTAAAGGTATATCTAGCCATGAACGCGGCTTCTTGATCCTGTCTGATTTTTCAAAAATATTTAGTTGACGCGCCCACCTTCTCAACCATCTATAGTTCCCTAGTTACCCAGGGCCTACCACTTTAAATCCCTTAAAGGGACATTAGGTAAGATTAGATAAAGAGTTGACAGTTCTCGCTATAATAGTGAAAACATAGATAATGAAAACAGAATATGCTGAAAATATCAGTCAAATTGCTTCACTCTGAACCGAGATAAGAGATTCAATTTCAGGCTAGCCTCGATCATCACAAAATGTATTCAAATCCACTAAATACCATAGGCTAACGATGGCACCGAGAGTTGATTATGGTCTGGATAAGTTAATTAATGTCTAATTAATAATTTAGATAACATTTCAGACCTAAAGAAAGATCTGCAATAGGCATGATTTAGCACTGCACCACACATAATTTACAGAAAACAAATCTACGGACAAGACACAATACGCAGAAATCACAAAAAAAGCCCGAACATATCAAAATAACAATGTCTCGATTATCCATTTTTATATTAATCATCCCTCACAAAATGTTTTCCAATTCGGTAAATATCGTAGGCTAACGATGGCATCGAGAGTTGATTATGGTCTGGATAAGTTAATTAATGTCTAATTAATAATTTAGATAACATTTCAGACCTAAAGAAAGACCTTCAATAGGCAGATTTAGCACTTGCATAATGTAAGGTTAAAATTTAAAAAAAAAACGAAATACCCTTGATGACTGTTACACTTTGTTTAGTAGCCCGTGGTATACACGCCAGAGTATAATGATCTACCAATTTTTAGATAGTCACGACTTCTATTTTTTAGAGGTCACGACCTTCGAGTACAACTTGTCAGATCTTCGTGTAGTGTCGACCATCGAAAGTACAAAAAAACAAAAAACGAAACGAAATATAGATCTGTATCAGATCGTTTTAGCCCAAGCTTAACGTCATCCTTATGAATGGGAGATACATCTAAAATCGGTCATCTTGGGTGCTGCATGTTGAATCTTTGAGAGTTTTTCGAAAACCAATATCACCTTTGTACACAAACTTATCCGCATAAAACATGCGAGAACAACAAAAATGCGGTCATTGTCGGTCGAAGCGCAGAACCTACTTTGGAATGTTTAAAACGCCCATTATTAATCCTAGAAAATGCAGAACTCAACAAATTATGCAACATAAAACAAATACTGAAACGCACTGGGGGACAGGCTCGCAGTATTATAGTAAATTCAGTCAAAATGCCATCAAAACTTGACGTTTGGTACAACCAACAACACGTCATGTTTAAATTAATCCAAGCCTGCACTATAATAACTTTCATCAGTCTTAAATCAGTAAACCACAATCAGTCAAAATGCAGTGGGCGGATTGACAATAGAACCTTCAGACAAGAGGCTACCGTCGCCGGTTGTTGTATTTAAGTCACATTATGTTTATAATTTGACCATTATTGTGCATATCTGATTAAGCATGAAGGTCTTTCAATAAAATTCTCGCTACAGTTAAATTTTATCGGATTGTTACTTTGTCAGGCCAAACAAATAAATGTTTCATGTGCACTGCTTGAATTGTTAGCCACAGCCAGATTTATCTTTGATATTGTGCATATATAGTCCAGAGAGGTGGTTTTAATTACCATTTACACTATATTCGATTGGACATAGGCTATAGGCCCGATTGGTACTCTAAAACACTAAAAGAAAAATAATCTGACAATCATTATTTAGGAATTTGCCCCCACCACCCCGTTGGTACCCAGTTATTCATGACCTCTCGGTGTTCATTATTGATGTAAAATATATTAGTTGATATGCATTCATTTTTCTCCCTGCTAGTTTCAAAAACTTGACTATATTGTACTCACTCAGAATTAACCAATAATAAAGTTAATTTACGGTATTTTGGGGGTCATTTTAGTGTTTTTAAACGTGCTCAGATTTAAAGCAATATTAAGATCTTGGATATTTACGCATCATTCCACTTGCTATTGTCATGTAACTGACATCATAAGTGGTAATACGCTATTATATGCCGTTTTCCTGGGACGTTACATGATTTATGTTTCACCTAACTCTCTTTATTGTTGGGGTCTTGGGCCGGGGTAATTTCGACAAAACCATGAAAAACATTTATTGCCGGGTGTAGGAAGGTGCACCATCGATAAAATGGGTGTCCCAGATGGTCCTCTATCAGAATTCGACTGAGGAACTTAGGGGCCCTTTTAAGTTTTATGCATGCAAACACCCCATTGGCTCGTATAATACATTCAAAGTTCGACTTCAACAACCCCGTGGTTTCCAGCACGCTTCGTCAAATTGTTGGACATGAACGGCTGCTTCCGGCCAAAAACGAACTGTCCAGAAGAAACGTATAGGAGCAGTGAGAACAACTACTGTGCAAATAAAAGAAAAGTAATTTATACTCTGCAATGCTACATTATTTTAATGAGGTTATTACAGGGAATTTTCTAATTATCTTCAGTCATGGAAGAAATTTAATTGTATCGGGAATAGTGTTATAACTGTAACATAATCACAGTGCAATTAGTTATTTTAGAAGAATGGCCTAATTTCATTTTCATTTGAAACGTTTAATTTTGATAATGACAATAGGCCTATAGGGTAATGGCCTGGTGAAAATCGCTCGGATGAACAACGTGCAGGTCACTCAAAATTGAATTTCAACAAGAGCTGCGACATTAAGATCGGAAATTAAACAAACTGAAAACTAAATCCGTTGTTAAATTAGTCTTTTGTCTTGAGATATTTTGATCTGTTTAATATTCATAGAATCATTAAAGGATTCCTGGACGTGAATTAAACTTTGTCACAGAGGCAATTTTATGCCTTTGAATTTGTAAATCGCTGTTACTTCGATCTTTTCAGGGAAGTTATGGAGGAAATTCGGACTTGAAAGTCTGCTTTATCTCAAATACAAATTTGGTCTAAACCCCCCTTTTATATTGTTTTAGTTCATTTCATTAATTAGGGACCAATCTTACCATTTCCACCAAAATGTTTTGGGGATATGAAGACCAAAACATAGGTTATATAGTTATGGATTTTATATTTATAATAATAAAATGTTTTAATATTCAGAAATTTATTTGATGAAATATCACAAACCGATGCATACATCATCTCTTCCGCCACTGATCCTTGTTTGGGTATTCACATTCCAGAATTTAAAAAAAACGAATAACAAACATGAATGTTAATCAAGAGGATTAAAATTAATATTACGATGTGAAAAGATAACAATATTTCAAAGTAAAATTTTTATATAATACTATCTTTGACACCCAACGTTGTACACTGAAAAATCTCCATTTTTCAAACACCCGTGAATGCACAATACTAAGCACCATTACATTATTTTTTTTTTATAGAAAAAACGGGATATTATAAAGTTATAAAGGTATCTGATTCCTTTCCTGTATCAAACAAACAACCTTTCTCTTTTCTATAACGCAGAACATTTCCGGTGCCAGATCCACGCATATTATATCATATAAGTATATCTCTTTGATTTACCGGAAAATAACGTATTGAATTTGATTGGTATGAGGAGCTATTTCAAGCTCTTCAAATAAATGCAGTGAAATTAACGCTTTTTTGCCAAAAGAAAGCATCCTGGTTTGAATGCCGAATTTATTTGAACACTGTTTCTACGAATGTATTGGTAAAATATTTTGACATCCAAAAAGGTATATGGATCAGGATCAGTCTAGCAGAATATTGTAAGCCCCAACCCCTCCCAGGTACATAGTGCCCCAAAATTTAACAACCATGTTCGCTGGCTCAGAGATCAGAAGATCCCGAGTTGGTTTAGAAAGTTCTTTGGTGCAGGACGGACAGAAAATCTCACAG